TGAAGTCGTCGAAGTGGTCGATGACGTCGATGAAGTAGCAGTGGAGTCGATGTCGAAGCAGAGCCGCAAAACGCTGACATCCTCAAGAAGTTGATGATGGAGTACCTGATGGTGTGAGTCAGTAGGGGAAACATAGAGGATAAGAGTGTCAGTCATCGTAACGCGAAGGGCGATGATGAGTGCGCTGTGGACGCTCGGAGGCGACCGTCTGCGGCTGAGGAATAACCTCAGAGGGAGCGGGCGCGTCCTCAGCAATCTCCTCAATCGAAGGAGGAGGAAGAGGGTCAGTCGGCTGAGTAGAAGCAGATGTCTCCGCACGACGAGCACGATCATATGTACGCACCAACATCTTGGTGTGCTGCAAGTGCTCGAGGGGCTCCCAAGTAGCCTTTTCATCAGGGTAGCCCTTCCAACGCACAAGGTACTCGATGCATGGACGGGTATCGTCGGTAACTCGGCGTGATACGATGTCGGAAACAACGAACTCCTCGTGACCGTCCACCATGATAGGTGGAGGGCGCTCATAAGGGCGTCCGGCGAAGCGCTCGGACGGTCTGCGATAAGGACGCAGCAAGGAGACGTGGTAAACATCGTATAAGCGAGTCTGTCGAAGGTAATCAGGTAGCTTCACACGGAAGTTGACCGGACTAGCGGCAGTATTAGAACCGATGGGCTGAAGGATGCGGCATGGACCAAAGAAATGACGCCTGAACTTGCGAAGCATATCTGCTTCGAGCTGTAAGTGGCGTGCGTCGACGAGCACATCGTCACCGACTTTGAATGGATGATCCATTCGTGATCGGTTCGTTCGTGCGGCCATGCGAGTCTGGGAGTCAGCTAAACTCTCGTGTGCACGCTTCATAATCGCGGCCATGTGGGCGATTCAGTCGTCAAGCGCATCGCAACGAGTGTCTGGGTGCAACCGCGATGGTCGTAGGAAATCCGCGGGTACCCGAGGGTGGTAGCCGAGGTCGCAATAGAATGGCGACATCCCCGTGGCTGGCGAAACAGCGTGGTTGTACGCAATCTCCGCGTGGGCTAAGTGTAAGTCCCATTGCTGGTCATCCCTAACAAACTTTCGGAGGATATTACCGAGAGTTTTATTGGTGACCTCAGTCTGACCATCCGTCTGAGGGTGGTAAGACGATGAGAAGCGGAGCCGGGATCCGTACACCTCGTGTAGGCGTTGCCAGAATATGATGGTAAAGCGCGGGTCACGGTCGGAGATGATGCTCTGAGGTAAGCCGTGATCTCTCACGACTCGGTCGAAGACGATGTTGGCGACCTCACGAGTGCTAATGCGATAGCGGCACGGAACAAAACGTGCACGCTTCGTGAAGCGATCGACGACGACCAAAATAGCTTCATGACCACACTGAGTGGGTGGGCGGAGGGGACCAATGAAATCCATCGAGATGGACTGCCAACGACCCTCGGGTATGGGTAAGGGCTGAAGTAACCCATACGGAAGGTGGTTCGCACTGTTCACCTCCTGGCAGGTAGGACACTCCTGGATGTACGCTTTGACTAAGTCCTTGGACTTCGGCCAGACGTATAGGCGGCAAACACGAGCCAACGTCTTGTGGAAACCCATATGATCGGCAGCTGCCTGGTCATGGGACTGGTTACAGCCTGGACGCGGAGCAGTCCGGTGGAGGGAACGCAGATACGTGTTTCTAGCTGACCGGATCTGCCATGCCAATACACGAGGCCGTTCTCCCCGAGGGAGTAAGAAGGAACGGTCTTGCCACTCCGGAGTGTCGCGTGGATGACGCGATAATCGGGGCAGTGGCGGTACTGAGTGCGATACGCGTCGATCACCGACTGATCAACAGTGGTGATGGAGATGACAGCCAGATGGATGGGTTCCTGATTGTGATCAGGACGGCGGGACAAGGCATCGGTGACGCGGTTCGTTTCACCTTTGATGGGCCGAGTGGTGAAACTGAACTCGGATAAGTCACGCCACCAGCGTGCCTGTCGAGGGGAAAGAAGCTAAGGCTTCGTGAGGAAAGCCTGGACAACTGAGTTGTCCGTGCGCACCATGAAGGGCGCCCCGTGCAAATAATGACGCCAATGTCGGACAACATAAACTACTGTGAGAACCTCACGTTCATCGGCAGTGTAGTTTATCTCAGCAGGCAGTAGCTGACAGGAGTAGAATGCGATCGGGCCATCCCCAGCACGAGTCTCGACAGTCCCATCCTCCGCGATGGTCGGGGAGTAAGTAACAGGAGGATTGTCAGTGGAGGGAAGTGGTGGGAGGGTAGGCGTCAGTCGAGAAGCAGTGTTAGCAAGAGGGGAGGAAAGGAGGAACATGGGGGTAAGGTGACTCTGGAGGAGAGGGAAACACCTGAGAAAGGACAACTCCTACTGCAAAATCTGACGCATCGGTGGTGACAATAAAGGGACGATCAAAATTGGGAAGGCGAAGAACCGGCGCACAGGTCACCGCCTTCTTGAGGGCGCGAAAGGCGTCCTCTCACAGGGGTGTCCAAAACCACGACGGGTTCTTCCCGAGGAGGGTAGAGGTAAGGACGTAGGAATATCTAGCGTATCCCTGGATAAAATTACTATAGTAGCTGGTGAGGCCTAGGAAACTGCGAAGCTGCTTGGCAAATGTGGGGACGGGCCACTCTGCAATAGCAGTGATCTTCGCGTTGTCCATGTAGAGACCCTGGTCAGACACATGGTGTCCTAGGAAGTCCACTTTGCTCTGGGCAAAGCGGCACTTACTGAGCTTGGCATAGAAGCCATGCTTGCGTAAGCGTTGTAGGACATCGCGGAGGTGTCTGAGATGATCTTCTAAGGTACGACTGTATACCAAAATGTCGTCCAGGTATACGAGAACGTATTCTTCAAGGATGTCCCTGAAGATGTCGTTCATCGTCGTCTGGAAGGTGGCGGGGGCATTGGTGAGGACAAATGGCATCACCGTGAACTCGTAGTGGCCGAAGCGCGACCGAAAGGCGGTTTTCGACTGATCCTCTGTGGCAACGCAGATCTGGTGGTAACCGCTACAAAGATCGATCTTCGTGAAGAAGCGGTTGCCTGCCAGACGGTCAAACAACTCTTCCGCACGGGGCATGGGATAGTTGTTCTTAACCGTGTAACGATTAAGGCCGCGGTAGTCGATGCACAGGCGGAGAGTTCCGTCCACTTTGCGAGCAAAGAGGACAGGTGCACCCCAAGGGTAGTTACTGGGTTTAATGAAACCCAGTCGAAGGAGCTCCTCAAGCTGACGCTTGAGTTTCATCGCCTCTGGGATCGAGAGTCGGTACGGTGCCTGATGGTGAACACGATAGTCARGCACGAGCTGCATARAAWGCTTAACACCGYGCATYGGGGGAATMCCGYTGTATGAGAAATACGGGGGAAAGACGTCGCGGTACTCTCGAATCAGGTTGCGAACGGCCGACTCTAAGTCTGCCGTGAACCGTGTGAGTTCCTCGGCGTTTGCGTCAGCACGAGACGTATGTGTGGACTCGACAGTCGACGGCGCAGGGGCCTGAGACGTGGAGGGGGTATCCGCAGGCTGACGAGTGGATGTAGAGATGGGAGCCGCGAAGATGGAAGGAGAGTCAGGGGGATCGGGCTCCAGAGAGATGAGCTCAACCTCGGGACAGAGTGGATCGTAGCGAAGAAGATCCATGACGTTCACTTAGTAGAACGTGACATCCTCCTGTCGTATGAAGTGAGCAAACTAACGAGGGGAAGTGAACGCGATGTTGGGGTGGAACCCTGAGGGACGAGGGTCCGGGGGAAGTAGGTCGGGTGGGGTGTCGCCCGTGGTTCCAATGAATGGGACGCGATGGGTCTGACCACACTTCATTTTGAGAACGAGTGTCTCGGTAGCCCATTCGGCCTCTGTGCTGCGGAACTGGCGAGACCAGGGAGTGCCAAGGATAAAGTCGTACCCAATCTCCAGCATGTCAAAGTATGCGGAGGAATGGTAGCGCCTAGGCGTCTGGGTACTATCCGATGGCTGGAGGGTGAGGGAGAAGTGGAGGTCGGGGACCGTCTGATCGAAGAAGCGCTGCGTCTTGTTATCTCTGAGGGTAACGGAAATAGGAGAGCGAGACCCAGARGTAGCTAGRCGAGCTTCCTCAACCACTCGAGGGTGAACGAAATCTCCMTGCGAGCCAGAGTCCCATAAAGCGAGGTACACCCTCSTAGATGTCCCTAGGCGAATAGGGATGATGGGTAGGGTGCGATCAGGGTCAGGGAGCAGAGCGAGAAGACGACRCAGGACGTTGACGTGCCTCGTGACTCGCTCCTGACGAGCCTGCAGAATGCTCAAGTCCAGGAGAGATGACACAACGTCATCGCGAGTCGCCAGCTGAGTGCTACAACGGGATGTGCGAATGGCGCGACGCGTCGGAAGTCTCGGGGGAGAAGCGCTAGATGTGGCGGTCTGCGGGGAGGCAGGCAGTACCTCGACAGACGACGGGGCAGAGAGAACAGCGTCTGGCGTATCCTGAGTGTCCTCTGGTGAGGTAGCCAAAAGGGCAAACCGCGACTCGGTGGTCGGGAAACCGGCTACGTGCGAGGCCTCAGGGGTACACTGCACCGTGGCTAGCTGGGTGGGGCTGGCCGGGCGGGGTCCGGGGGGGACTGAGATCGGCGCTGACGAGAAATGTCAGCGTAGTACCGATCGAGGGCGGTGTGGTATGGACACCGTGAGGAGGTGTGTCCATCCTGGCGGCAACGAAGGCAGCCTCGTCGGGCCTCGAGGGCGGCACGCTCCTTGGGGGATAAAGCTCCGCAAGGAGGGACAAAACCCTGCGGGAGGTCTATCTGAGGAACCGTGGGTGTGAGGGCGCCAGCCTGCGCAACCCGACTGCGTGCACGACCCATGAAAGACATGGCCATCTGCAGGCGCTCGGCCATTGGGACAGTGTCGTCATCCGAGTGGTACTGGATGACGTCCCGAAGCTCGATGTCCTCGGGGGCATCCCCAATGGTAGGATCGAGCTCGGCTGAGGCGTCCTCTCCATACTCGAGAGAACTGTAGTGCCGAGCGAATGGCGCTCCAGGTCGAGCCAGGCGACGAAAACGACCGGCAAACGAGGAGCGGCCTCGGGTGGTACCCCGAGACTGGGAGATGGCGGCTGGCCGCGAAGAGGATGGGGCGACGGAGAAGCGACTGCACATCCTTTGGTACTGACGCGCAGCCTCGTATGCCTGCTCCGCGGAAGAGAATCATCACCTCCATAGCTCTAGGCGGTAGTCAGTCGGCAGGCTGACAAGGAACCGGTCGGAGAGTGTGACCTCCGGTAGGAACGTCTCGTCACAAACAAGGCGAGCATCCTGAAACACCCGGATGTGACGCTCCAGGTCGGCCGGTACAAAGGACCCGGACCATCTGGTCTGGGCGACGCGGTCTAAGGCGTCGGTGGCGTCATGACGAGCGCCGAAACGGTCCTGAAGGAAGGCCGCGAAGTCGGCCAAAGTGGGGACCTCACCTACGCGGAGGCGCTGGGTATAGTGATCCTCCCACGCAGTGGAAGGGCTACCTCGCAATTTGGTTGCGAGCATATCGCACCACAACTCGTGACGGGTGGTCGTCATAGAGAGCGTGCGCGTTGCTATCTGCAACCAGCGAGAGACACGGGATGTGCCATCATACTCGGGAATGTCCGTAGTGCGCACAGGAGGATGTCTACTGTGCTGATGGCGGGGGGAGAGAGACCGAGGCGAGTGCACCGCGGCAGCGTACGTCGAGGCCGCTGCAGGGGCAGAGGTGGGGGAAGGCTGTGGGCCGTGGCCGCTGGCAGATGGACCAGCAGACGAGGAGGCAACGGCCGCGGGCAGCTGTCCCGGAATAGCCAGGTAGGAGGGAAGAGGCTGAGGAGCAGGTCGAGGGAAACGAGCCTGCATCATGGGGACCGAAGGGGTGGTAGAGGAAGAAGGGTGGGCAGCCTGTGATGGGTGAGGCTGTCTCAGAGCGAGAATCTTCGCCTGAGCCTG